TATCTCATATTACTGATTTACTGGTAGTCACGAAAACAATACTTAATTCGAAAAATAAAAATAATCTACTTATACCCTCGAAAACCTACTCATTGCTCTGCTTACTGTCGGCTTCACCAAGTTTTTTCAACTTGTTTCTGCTTTCAGGAGGACTTGAAGAGACCACCCAGTCTCGCCATTTTATGTAAGCTTCCAGAATCAGTCGCATAACTATGCAAATTCCCGGATATTACACCGGCAGCATTAGACTTATCACGGAGACAGAACTTGTAAAAATAACGACTTAAGTCAAACTTTTTGACAGATTTTCTGCTGAACGAATGTGAGATATCTGCTTCTTTCTTGTTACAACCGCTCAGCAGAAGATTCTTTAAGGAGAATTGCTTCATTTCAAGAGTGTTATTTTAGTGTTGAGTATGGTGCTGGTGGATAATACTGCCAACTCGAATGTCGGTGAAATGTCCGGCAGTTTATCCAGTCAGCTGAACGCTGCCAGAAGAAGACCCGACAACTCTGACGGAAGTCGCCCTGACAACCCGAAGTTTAAGTACCGCTTACATGATGCCATACAACCATGGGCCTTGAAGCCTTAGACATACACCTAGTCTTGAAGTAGCATTCTCTCTTCTCTGTATGGAAACTCATATGAATTTGAGATCATCTGCCCGTGGCACTGATCTGAGGATGCTGCTTGCTCGCTTCTCTGCTTCATGGACCATTGGTATATCCAGTTTTCATCATTCCGCCCCTCTTCTGTTGCTCTTTCCGTCTTGCGCTCCTTTTTGCCCCGATCTCTGCTACCGGTTCTACTTATCTCATCTTCGTTTGTCTAGCCACTCTCGGACAGACACAGCCTCCCGGCTTCCTGCCCATCTTCTGATATGCCTTTCGGGTTCCAGCCAGCCACCCACGCACCCACCGAAACGAGACCTAGTTTGGGTCCTTTGTAACGAGCCCTAGCCTAAAGTGATTCGCAGTCTTTCTCGGCAAAATGTAGGCAGGAACTTTGTGAAATCAGCGCTTGCTCGCTGTACTACCCGACAGAGGGTGAAGTAGGACAGCCAATTCGCCGTCTGCTGGCACGGTGCCAAAGGAATGCCAAAAAGACAGACGCTAATCGCGATCAGACGTCTGAACAAAGGACACAGATCCATCCAACCGAGACGCAGATCTCGGTGAGGCTGTGCTCCTGCCTCGCCAGCGGTTGCCATCGGATCCAAGTGGAGGCGGGAGTATGGCGGAATCGTGGATCAAGGCCTCCGTCCGATGGGCTCCACCACCTGAACAGACCAACAGGCTGTCGAGCAGATGGGCCGACGTGATACGTCTGGATTGTCGGCTGTACCTCTTCTCTTTCATCGATCGGCATGACACCTCTGTCCGGTTCAGCATGGTCGGGATCCGGAATAGTTCTCGGCCAATCCGAGATGACAATGGAGGCGACCGGATAGGCCTACAAATCAGATTGCTACGACTGGACAGAAGAGACAGCCGAAAAGAAGAGATTGGGCTTCGAGGTTGTCCGGACCCAGATCAGACGGCCTTTTTGCTGGCTCAGCAGAGTTATCTTGTCGTAGTGAATCGGGAACATCCGTCCAGAGATACAGCAGCTGCCTGCTCGAGATGAGGGCGGCCGCATCGCTCCTTATTCTCTTTTGTCTGACGGCTTCCGGTTTTGCCGCCTCGGTTAACGGTGAGTTTGAGCCCTTTTTCTCCAGGCCGCATTCCTTGTAGGGCTAGGACTTTGGTAGTTTGCACTATATTCTACCCAATTCTGTTTATGATTGGCGTCAAGTTGCACCTGCATGGTATCAGTTAGTGCGGGTTCGCCTAAGAGAGTCCAGTCTCTCAATTTCAAATGTGATATTAGTTGTTCTCTCTATTCGGCCTCAGACATTCCGTTTTCACTTTGAGGCTTCCATAAGACTCGGATACAAAACTGAGAAGCCGTATGCCTCAGCCAGTTATGAAGTCTGACTACAATTGTGCAATTATTGGTGCTTCTTTCAGAATCTTTTGACTTAACCACCTTTTTAGATACAGCTTGTTAGTTTTAACCGAAATTATGGAATAATCTCAAATTTATGCCAATTCTGTGCCTCAGTGAACCATATTTTAGGTCTCTAATATCATCAACCCAAAGGCAAAGCGCTCATAGCGTAGATTAACTATGACGATCTCGATAGGGACTTAGGCTTTTTCGCTAAATAATGCTGTTTATCATGCTGGAATCCAAGAACAGGTCCTCATTTTGTGTTGGCTTGTGCACTTTGTTTTGTTTTGCTTAAACCTAGAACCACGCACCAAACGTCAAAGTGATGATGACCTCGAGGGGACAATGGAGATCTCCGGTGGAGACGAGATGATTGAAATTCGGGCGCCATCCGTACGTCTTGTTGATTGTGTGCCTATGTACATGGAGAATTTCATATTCAATGCATTTATGCTCTGTTCATTTGCCGTTTATGAGTATTGCCAA